GAGGTGTCATCCTCGGGGGGCCTGGTGGGAAATGAGAGAGGCCAGGCTCCCATAAGCTGCTGAAGGACATCCAAAGGGAGACAGCATTTTAAACAAAGCACTGGGGCAGCAGCTTTGAGAATTAAAAATGCACGAACCCTTGGGCCAGCCAGCCCGGGAAAATAGAAACACCGGAACATGCTGACATGTGCACTAGGACGTCTACTGCATTGATTTCACTGCAGCAGAAAACTGGGAACAAAGTGACTGAGCAACCCCCCCCCCCGCCAGGTATCCACCATAAATATCCACATGGCAGTAAAGCCCTGGCTGACAGGGAGAGGGTCCTGCAGCACGGAGGGATGACATGATACAAGATACAAGGGGCAGCTAATAGGGCATGATTTAATTTAGAAAACAAACAAGCGAACGAGCCCTTTTTTGTGCCTCTCTGTGAGTGTGATTATGCTGTGTCTACGCAGAGGATTGTGCGCAGGGCACGGGAGAGCACAGAGAGTGATGTGGATCCGCACATGCTGGGTGGGGGTCAGGGCACCGTGAGGCCCAGAGCTACGTGGAGCAGGGAATTAGCAGGAAAGGAAAAAGACAGCGCTATGAAAAGCATGGGCATGATCCTATTTATGCTTTTTAAAAAATTGTGAGTATGCATACCCTTAGAAATAAGTTTAAAGATTTAAACAACAAATATCAAAAGGGAGATGCACGGAGTCTTGGCCCAGGTAGTGAGATGGCCCGGCTCCTCAGATGGCTGGTTATCCCCGTGAAGGGCCCGCACGGCGCAGGGACAATGGAAGCGTCCAAGTACAGCTGTCCCTCCTTTCCCCAGTTTTACTTTCTGCGGTTTCAGTTACCTGAGATCTACCACAGTCCCAAAATGTGAAATCAAAATTCCAGAGATAAACAATTCTTAGGATTTAAGTTGCGCAGTGTTGTGGGTGATGAAATCTCCAGAGTCCCGCTCAGGACCCGACTCAGCCCTTCGTCCAGCATCTACACTCTGTTCCTGCTCCGCCCGTTGGTCACTTAGGAGCCGTCTTGGTTATCAGATCGATACTTTCGATGCTGTCCTGGTGTCGCAGTGGCTTGTGTTCAAGTCACCCTGATTTTATTTATTTATGATCCTGAAGCACAAGATTGATGCTGGCGATTCAGACTCAGCGTAGAGAAGCTGTAAAGTGCTTCCCTGAAGTGAGGAGAGCCCTGAGCAATTAGATACTGAGAGAGAGACCGCGTGCACATAGCTCTGATTGCAGTATATCGCTATCATTGTTCTGTATTATTATTAGCTATTGTTAATCTCTTACTGTGGCTAATTTTTAAATTAAGCTCTATCATAGGCATGTATGTGTAGGAAAAACAGTGTATATGAGAGGGCTTTCCACTCTGTGGTTTCAGGCATCTACGTGGCTCTTGGAATGTATCGCCCATGGATGAGGGGGACTGCGGTAAAAGTAACTAAAAATATTAGGCTGAGAATACTGATTGATAGGAATTCCCTTGGGGAACTTGAGCCTTTGTGTGGCTGGCTTCCAAATAACCAGTTTCCTTCCCTGTGTGAGAGAGGGGTCCTCAAGGCTGAGCCAGCAGGGGCCACAGACATGCAGCCTGTGACAGGAACTGTTCCACAGACTGGGCTTGTTTGAGCTGCAGGTACTTGAAACACCAGGGAATTTTAGGTTGAACTCTGAAATTTGTGTTCGTGAAGGTAAAAGTAGTTGAACATCAGCAATTTCATCTGTTCAACCTAACGTGCAAAACTCTGAATTCCTGATTCTGAGAAACAAGGTGGCGGCTGCATGCGTTCTCCCACGGCGCCCAGAAACTGGCTTTGGACAGACAGAGCGCACACCCTCCTGTGCTCTGGGTCCTCCATGTCCTGTCGCTGTCTTCGTCCTGCCTGCTCAGTCCGTCTGCATTACCTGCCTGGCCCATAGCATTTGCCGTTGTGACTCTCATTTGGTCTGTGACACTGCTTGGCAAAGTGACCTAGTCACTTACCTTTTCTGAGCCTCAGTCTCCCCATCTGTAAAATGGAGGCAACTCGCTGCTTATTAGGGCATGGTGAAGATCTGATGAAACCTCGTCCATGAAACCACTGTGAAAGTTGTAAATTATTATGCACCTATAGGGAATTATTTTGCATAATCCGGCTTTGGCAAATGTAGATTAGATTTCCCCCAGCCCAGCCCAGGCCCAGAGAGTGGCCTGCCTGTGAGCATATGAGAATCTCCAGATAGTCTGATTTACTGATGCTCATTGATGCAAACCAGTGCGCGCTCAATTTAAGTTCAAGTGAGTGCTTGCTGCATAAAGGGAACTGACATCCTTTAGCCTATTTTAATACTTACAAAAATGATCGGATGGATAATTATGGTCTCTAGTGTACAAATGAGGAATCTGAAACACCGGAGGTCAAGGATTCACCCTAAGAGGCACACTTAGCCAGTACTGCTTCTTTTACTATCCCACACAACCTCAATATATCTATTTCCTGTACAGTGCATAGCACAGTGTCTTGCACACAGCAGGCCTACAATTTATGCTTAGAATCCATGCATCAAAAAACTTTGCGGGTGCCAGTTGGAGGCACAGTTCACAGCTCCTTCCACAAGAGGGCAGTCTAGTTAAATGCAAAAGTTCAGGACTAAGCGTCCATTGTTTAAGACAGACAAAAAAAGTTATGCCTGAAATGGGATCCTTTCTTTTTTGTAAGCAAGCATGTCTCAGAGCGAGTTTTGATTTAGGAAGGTCATGGGAAGGGTCAGGTCGTTGGTTACTGGAAGCCCAATCATATTCAGGAATTTTCTGATAAGCAGACCTGGGCAGTGCCAGGCCCAGCGACTCCACCGGGCACAGTGGAAGGAGCCATGGAGGCCACGTGGAAAGTCTAGACTTAGCACCTAGGGTTTCCAGATCAAAAAAACACAGGATGGCCAGTTATATTTGAATTCAGATAAGCAAGGAGTACTTTTTTTAGTATAAGTATGTTCCTCCTCAATATCGCACCAAGAATTTTAAGCCAGGGGTGGGGGTTGGGAATATCTTAAAAACCATTGTATTTAGATTTAGAAGAGAATGGACTGGGATTGGAGAAAAGCAGAGTGAGTGCTGGGAGGCGACTCTGTGAGTTTGGCGGCTCCTGGACTGGTCCAGGTGGGATGTGACGACTTGTGCTAGACTAGGTGATGGAGAGGAGCGTGGGCAGATGGAGCGAGTTGGGAGGAATATTCACTAGGTAAAATCTACAGGACTAGAGAGGAAGGGGGGAGGAGGAGGGGGAGGGAGAGTCTAGGGAGAGCGTGGTTTTTCTTGGGGTGGCAGAGAAGGGTGGGGAACCTAATGAGAAGGAGACCAAAAGCATGGCAGAGGCCCTCACGCCCTGGGTGACATTAAAGCACCAATGACAATAGCAGGTGCAGCCAATAAACGAGCTTAGTGACAACTATGACGCTGGGGGAGGAGTCCCCAATTCATAGATGGTGATACTGTTTCAGAAATCAGATCGTATGGAACTGGATTTCAGAAAAAGGAAGTCGGGGAGGGTCAGAGCTTGACCTTACTGGTGACTCCAGAGCAGGCAGGGCCCCCTAAGAACCCTGCTCTACCTAAGTGGTAGCCTCTCCCTCCAACCAGCGGCTCTTGTTGAAGGAGCACTGGGAGTGGACTAGGATGCGTGGGCCCTGGTCTTGGCTGGGTGATCTTGAACCGATCGGTTCTTTACTCTGAATCCCAATTTCCTCATCTATGAAGTGGCGCTTCTTAAGGGTTGCCATGCAGACTAAATGAGATAAAGTACAGAGAGTGCTTGCTGTAGTGTCAGCTCAGTCAGTCCATGCCACCTGTTATTTTTATTAGGCGTAATTAATAGCGATAATCATATGTGGTTAAGTCAGGGCTGGAATTCTGATGTGTCCGGCTCCAGGTCCTTAGCTATTTACACACAGAATTGGCAAGGAGGGATTAAAGATGGCAGTGCAGGGTGTCTGCCCCAGAGGGGACTGGAGGCCGGCCCTAAAGAGTCCAGGTGGCAGCAGCTGGCCTTAAGGAGGCCTTGGGAGGATGGGAAGACCCTCCTTCCAGCCGAAGCCATGGTGACCTCCCACGTGCAAGAAGGGGGATGCTGAGGGTGAGGTCCGTGCAGAAAGCACAGGGAGGGCCAGGTGCAGGGCAGGTTACGAGACCAGAAACCCAGAGAGCAGGACTCTGACCCGAAGGCACTGGGATGAAGGCAGCTCAAAGACCCTGCTGGTGGCACTGGCCCTGGGACAGGATGTGGAGATGGGCCTTTGGGTTGAATCAGCAGGACATGGGACTAGAGTGGTTTAAATTTCCCGTGCCTTGTGCTGAAACGGGTTTCAGAACCTCGGGCCAGCGGGGCGAGCCATCAATGCATTTATCAGCATGTACATCTGCCTCTGTCAGGTCCAGGAAAAGTGAGGTGTCGGGACACAGAGTAGGGCGTGAGAACAGAACCCAGTCACGTGCCTTTCTGGACATGGGGCAGGGGCCAGCTATGGCCAAACACACCTTGAGCAGCACCCCAGCAGAGGAAGGTATCACGTGGAGCCCAAGATCAAGATCGCAACCCTAGCTCCAGCCCCCAGTATTCCGAGATGGTGGCCGACATACCTTACCTTTAACCTCTGAGGTGGGGATCAAAGAAGGCCACCTGCCTTTCCGGAGTGTTCAGTGAAGGGAACAAGTCATTGTATGTTAAACACTTTGTGGATTGTCCTTTACAAAGTAGTGGCTGAATAAGTGGAAGTCCTTCTTAATACTACTACTAAAAGCACTTTTTAGAATGAATTATCCCAGGTTCCCATGAATGAGCTTTTATTCTGTGCCTCCGATCAGTGGCAACTGGGCAAAGTGAGCTTCTGGTTTCTATTCAGCATAACTCACTAACTAGAACAGCCTTTTGTATGTAACTCACAGACACGGTGATACACCAATGACGTGGGAAAAATCCATAGTTCTGTGCTGCTTTCCTAAGCTTTTTTTCCATATTAATTTTCATTCAAATTGATGGCTATTACCTGCACCGCATGTTCAGGCTCCGAGCAGATTTTGCACAACATATCGCCTCCCAGTACTGGTTCATTTACACAGTGATCACACATGTGTACGGGTCATTCTGCATCCTACCCTTTTTACACAATGTTATGCACACATCCATTTAGGGGATTTACTATAATTTGCTTCTTAATTTTCCTATCATCAGACACAAATGTTGCTTCCATAGATTTCTAGACTAAATTCCACAGCAACAGACCTCTGTGCAGAGAGCCGCTGCTTCTGCTAACTTATGATCTGAGGATATATGTCCAGACATACGTAGGAACACATTAGGCTTGGGTCCCATGGACCAGCCACATGGGACACATGAGCAAACCTCTCAATGTCGTATAGAGCACGGAACTCCTTCCGGTTGCTAAACCATTGCATGTGGGAAGGGCTGCTTAGCATGGCTCTGTATCACTGGTTTCAGTTTACCTCCAGGATAGGGCCCCAGCCAGTTAGCTCGATAGCAGTCGCCAGGTCAGACGGGAGTCAGGTGTACGTTCCCTCAGTGTTTGGAAAGAGTTCTCTGGCCCTCATGAGTGATGTCATATTGATTTTGTGTTTTCTCAAACTGTGAGACTGGGAAATGTCCTTCTCAAGAACTTCCTATGGGGGAATCTGGCTCCTCTCCAAGCTCTTGACAGCTTGTAAAGGGCTCTGAAGTTGTTTGATCTCCCAAATGAGATCATCGGAGTTGAACCACATGTTTGCAGAGCAAACCGGGCCTTTTGTCTCTGGAGCCATGTTCTAGTAAGGGAACCAGTTCAGGCGTGGTCATTGCCTGTTTTCTGCTCCATCCTGTGAGACACAGGCTTGGGGATAAATTGGTCAAGTGTCATGAGTGAGGAAAACAGCTAATTAGCACAGGACAGCTTTATCGAACAGGTCTAGCCAGGTGAAACCGAGTTAGGGGAGAAACAAATTTACCGCAGGAAGCCTGGAGCAAACGGCCTGAGAGAAAAAAATCAGACATCCCCTTTCCCCAGGTGAGATGAGGCCACATCTGTTTGTTTCTATAGGAACAGCTTGCGATGAGTTGCCTTTTATAAAGTGGTGAAGGTACATCTCCCTCTCCTTCAGGTTTCCAGATGCATTCGTGACGTTCAGCGCCTTCCGGAGAAGGTTCCCTGAGGTGTCCGGGTACTGTCACTGTGCCGACAGCCAGGGGCGGGAACTGGCTGAGACAGGTAAGTGCACCTCAGGCGATCGCAGGGGAGGAGTGGCTTTCACTGGGCCCAGAGCCTCAACCTCAGTCCCTGCAAAGCCGAGGGAGCAGCAGGGCCTGGTCCCCAGCTGGGCCACCTGCTGGGTGTCCAAGGGGCACAGCTAGCAAACGGTCTGTGGTGCTCTGATGTGCATGGGACAGGGGCCCCCTCTGCAGACGCAGCCCTGAGCTTGGCCCGCGGAGGCCCGGGTGGGTTCTGGTCTTTCTCATCAGCGCTGCTGCCAACAGCCTGCCAGCCGTGCCCAGCAGCCCTGGCTTGGGAACCATTAAGGGCTGGCGCAGACCCCATGCACAGGGAGGCCAGGGAAGGCCTCTGGTCCTTTTTCTGTTGTTGTTAATGCTCACCCAAGGATATTTTTTCCACTGAGAGTGGAAGGGAGGGAGGGAAGGGGAGACAGAGAGAGAGAGAAACATCGATGTGAAAGAGGCACATTGGCTGGTTGCCTCCAACGCCCCCACCAGGATCGGGGAGCAAACCCACAACTGAGGTGCGTGCTCTTCACCGGGAATTGAACCTGTGACCCTTTGGCTCACAGCCTGACGCTCTAACCACTGTGCTACACCTGCCAGGGTGGCTCTGGTCCTCTAAATACCAGTGTTTTTTTTTCTGAGTAGCATATTTTATTTTATTATTTTTTTTAGGGCAACAAGGTTTATTTTTTTTTATTATTTTTTATTATTATTTTTTAAATTTTATTTTTGTTTAAAATATTAAAGATGTCCCTTTTTCTCCCCAATGACCCGTTCCACCCTGTCCCTTCCCCCTCCCCTGTCCCTCTCCCCACCACTGTCCGTGTCCTTGGGTTGTGCATATCTGCATATAAGTTCTTTGGCTACTCTCTCCCCCTCCACCCACCTGCCCCCCTCCATCCCTCTGACATTCGTCAGTCTGCCCTGTGCTTCCATGTCATTGAATCTATTCCGTTCATCAGTTTACTGAGTTCTTTAGATTCCACATAAGCGAGGTCATGCGATGTTTGTCTTTCTCTGCCTGGCTTATTGCACTCAGCATAATATTCCCCAGGTCCATGCATACTGCCCCAGTTTAAGTGGGGAGATCAGGACCTCCTTTCGGAGGGAAGCTGCACCTTCACCCGCCTGCTGTCTTTGCTCAGGTTTGGAGCTGCTGCTCGATGAAATTTACGACACCATTTTCGCTGGCCTGGACCTCGCTGCCACCTTCACGCAGACCACCCTGTACCGGATACTGCAGAGACGCTTCCTAGCGGTTCAGCTAGTCCTTTCGGGCAGATTCCGATGTGAGTAACAAGCTGATAACCGATGGGCACACTGCTGCCAGGAGGGGACCACTGGGGTTTGAAGTCACCGCAGTCTCCCCGGCTGCTCCAGCAGAGTGGGGGTGGTGTGGAAATGAATGTCACTAGCAAGCGGAGTGCACAATGTGAGCACACCAGGTGTTGTTGACTGTCTCCTCTTTACCACGTGGATTTCTCCCAGGCCCCACAAAATGTGAGGTGGAGCGGTTTACAGCGACCAACTTCGGTCACCCCTACATTCCGAGCTGCCACCGAGATGGGGCCTACCAGGCGGTGCAGTGCCAGAGGGAAGGGCCGTGCTGGTGTGTGGATGCCCAGGGCAGGGAGGTCCGCGGAACTCGGAGGCCGGACGCGTCGCTGCCTTGTGGTGCGTCTCCCGCTAGGGCTTCCTGTTTGGGTCTTCTCAGGTCACTTTACTGTGTTTCTCCAAACCCATCACGCCAGGACCCATTCATTCAAATTCCCCACAGGCCCGTCAAGCTCAACATGATGAAAACCCACTTACCATCTCTAACTTCTAACATGTTTCTTGTCCCGTGTCTGGCATAGTTTCTCCCTCAGGGAGCCCAGTGAATATTGGGGGCCTCATAGGTAAAGAAAAAGAAAGGAGGGTTAGTTTAGACGTGGCGTAAGAGAGAAGTGGAACACAGAGCAAGGTGGGATCAGAGTATATGAAAGGGAGAGATTCAGGAAGGCTTCATGGAAGAGGCAACACTTGATTAGTGCTCTAAAATAAAGATGTTTCCTGAGGGGGGAAAATAAGGACAGGTGTGCTCTGCGTAGAGAGCAGGAGAAGCAAAATCATAAGGACACAAGTCATAGGCATGGATCTGTTAATGGCCACTGAATCTGCAAGAAGAACAGAGAAAAACTGTTGACTCATGAGCAGGGTGGGGCTCTGAGGGGGAAGAAGCAGGGAAAGACACTGAGGTCTTTTACATCACGGCAAAGGCTCGGGGGCTTCTTCCTGGGACAGGTGAAGGTGCTGAGGGGATGTAAGCTGGAGAGGACCATGATGGGTTTTGTGTGTAAGGAAAATCACCCGGGCATTTTGGAGGAAAGATTCAAAGGAGTATTGAAGGTCATGGCAATGTCCTGAAGAGAGCTCAGGGGACTAGTTACTTCCCTGGGGCTGCTGTAACCAAGTTCCACAAAGGGAGCGGCTTAGGACAAAGGAAATGTATTCCCACGGTGCTGGAGCCTGGAAGTCCAAAGTCCAGGCGTCAGCAGGGCCAAGGTCCTCTGAAGGCTCCGAGGAGATTCCTTCCTGGCCTCTTCCTATTTTGTGGTGGTTGCCGACAATCTTTGACATTCCTTGGCTTGTGGCAGCATCCCTCCAAACTTTGCCTCTGTCATCACGTCTTCCTTCTGTGTCTGCCTCTGTGTCTCTTTTCTTCTTGCAATGGCACCAATTATATTGCATGAAGAACCCACTCTACCCTGTCTCTGCCTCTGTGTCTCTTCTTCTTGCAATGGCACCAATTATATTGCATGAAGAGCCCACTCTATCCTGTCTGAGCTCATCTTAGCTAATTGCATCTACACTGACCCTATTTCCAAAGAAGGTCACATTCTGAGGTTCCAGGAAAGGCGTGACTTTTGGGGAGGCACTATTCAACCCAGGACAGGGACCAATACTAAGGAAGAAGCAGTGGGCTGGGGAGAAGGGTGTGGGCTTGAAATGCTGCTAGGTGTCCTGTAAGACTCCATTCAGTCCACCAGTAAGATTCTGGAGGAGGGAATCCGGGAGCACCCTCAGGCTCTCTACTTGTGCAACTGGGTGGATTTGGTGAGATTTAAATCCGTGAAGGAGACCAGGTCTTTTTATAGCCTCAACATAGTATGTATCGATGTTCATTCAACAAGTCCTGTGAAATCATTTGATTTCTCCAACTTAACGTTTTGAGTGTTGGACGTAGTGTTTGGTAGTATTCTCTGCTCTGTGTGAGGATACAGAAAAAAATGTGGAGTTCTGCCTTGAAGCTATTCCCCATTACATTTTAATTCTATTAAAACCCACCGGATAGTGTGCCCTCCAATTTTCAGGTGGAAATGAAAAGCTACGTTTTCCCAATTAAAACCAAGAGTGCTCCCAAACGCACAGATCACACATTTTCCCTCTCTCTCCCTGGTGTATCGGTCCTATTTCTGTGGAAACAAACGCCACATGGGACCAATATCTGAATTTTTGCCTTGGTAACACGACATACGAATGGAAGGGAGGCTCTTAATTTGGAAAGCAGTGAATTTCCTTTCTTCCATACCTTCCTCTAATAGCCATCAAAGGAAGCCACCGCCTCGCTGAGGGATGTTAGTGTCCTGAGGTTGCCAGTCCCTTTCTCTCTCTCTGACCACATGTTTCCGTTCTTTCTCTGTTGCCTGGTTGCAGAGGAATATTGGCTGACTTCTTTTTTGGCATCCGTGTGAACTGAGGGAAAAGAATTATTCTAAAAAGTTGGGGTGGTGGGTGGTTGCAAATCTCTAACAGTTACAGTTTTATGGAGAAAAGTAGAGCTTATTTGCTTTCACCTATGTAACTGAGACAATGGAATTGGAATTAAAAATAATTTTTCTAAACGTGATTGTGGTCAACCTAGGATATTCAGATAGAACAACCTGGACCTGTATGGAGTTGACTGAGTTGGTCACTATTTAATTAGTAATTTTGAGGAAAGGTCAAGAAGCATAGAAGAATGTGCTAAGTGTGTTTGCCAAGTGGGCATCATTATACTATATTATAGGAAATATATTTCCCATGACATATGATAATATTATATATTACAACATAGGAAAAATATTTATTGTAGGAAATACTAACAGCATTTCAAGTGTGCCTTTAATCTTCAAAGAGACTATAAACTAGTGCTGCGATGAGACTACCCACAGGGAAGAATTAGGCGGCTAAACAAAGAACATATAAAGAAGTGTTCAAGTCCATTAGGGTTCCAACAAGAATGTGCTGGGAAGCCACGCTGCATTAAAAAATAGGGATTTGTTGGTGTTCTAGCTGTAGGGCTGGTGTCACAAATTACCACAAACTGGGTGGCTTAAAACAACAGAAATTTATTTGCTCATAGTTCCGGAGGCTGGAAGTCTGAATCCAGAGTGTCAGCAGGGCTGAGCTCTCTCTAAAAGCCCCAGGGAAGGGCCCTTCCTTGCCCCATCCTTGCTTCTGGTGGTGGCTGGCACCTCCTTGGCTTATAGCTGCCTGTACCCCTCCAGTTCCTGCCTCTGCCCTCATGTGGCTTCTGCCCTTGTGTCCGTCTATGTCATCCCATGGCCTTCTAATCAGGACACCAGTCACTGGATTTGGGGCCCGCTCTAATCCAGGATGACTTCATCTCAACTAATTACATCTGCAAAGACCTCTTTCCCAAATAGGATCATATTCTGAGGCTCTGGGTGGACATGAATAATGGGCGGGG